GACCCAGAGCAGGCACATCTTGCTGCAAAGGGGTCACAGAAGAGTGGGGAAAGACTTCAAGTATCATCCTTCCCTTGATTCCTCTTCTGTGGGTGCATCGCAGGGACTGGTCTCCACAGATGCAGAGGGGCTGGAGCTAGAGGGCTGGCTTTCTACATCTGTTCTCTGCAGCATTGTCCTCTTTATTTGTATTAATTCTGATGGACTAAAGGGCTAATGGGTTAACATGACCCAGTTACTATCCAACATTAAATAGTGCTAAAGAGAGTCTGGGGTCTGGTATACAGAGCCCTCAGCCTGCTTAGCACTACAGCAAACAAACTATTAAAAAACCATGTAACCCTTTATTAATGATACAGAAAAGAAAGAAAAACTGTTCAAGTATTTGAAATGTAAAGTATTAAAGCTTTAATGTCAACCACATCCCTTAATTCCTTTGCCATTAGCGATAGACAGTTTTTTGAAGAACCCTCCTTGTTTGAGAGTCTCTTAGAAGGTAACAACTATCATCTTCTCAGGAGGTTTCTGGGATTCTAGGGCCAGTTTTGCTGGAGAGGCTGTTCTCAGTAGTGATAGATGGCAGAACAAGGAGCAATAGTCTCAAGTTACAGTGGGAAAGGTCTAGGTTGGATATTAGGAAAAACTATTTCACTAGGAGGGTGGTGAAGTATTGGAATGGGCTACCTAGGGAGATGGTGGAATCTCCATCCCTAGAGGTTTTCAAGTCTTGGCTTGACAAAGCCCTGGCTGGGTTGATTTAGTTGGGATTGGTCCTGCTTTGGGTAGGGGGCTGGACTCAATGATCTCCTGAGGTCTCTTTCAGCCCTAGGATTCTATGATTCTGCTGGATCCAGTAGGGATAGCGATGTCAGCTGGGTCTCTCCCTTTCTCCCCTCTCATCTCTTTCCTTATCGTGTTCACCCTCGGGGCTGGTTGATTACATGACAAAGTGCCATTGACTTGGAGCTAGACATTTACTCCAGCAAAACTCCTGCTAAAATCAACAGGACTGAACTAAGTAAGCAGGATTTGTTGACTTGGTGGGAAGTGGCAGGTGCTCGGCATTTCTCAGGATTAAGTGACTAATATGGTGTTTTGTAAGGTCTGTTAATATGGCTCTTCTATAGTGACTATTGTCCCAGGAAACAAATTTGTCTAGAGGCTGAACAAAATCCTGGAAGCAAAAGGCCAGATAAAAAAGGAATGAAGACGTGAAAGAAGTTATATGAAAATAACTGAATGTGGAAAAAACATTGGGAAGAGACTTGTGAAAGATTAGATGCTGGCAAAGAAGATGATTTATGGATGATGCTGAAGCAAAGTGACAACAAACAGATTAAGTTGTGCAATCTAAAAAATCCCAATATCCTGAAAATTGTAGGCATAGAGGCATGAGATAACAGTCTGCAAATACGCGAGTTGAACATTAAACCAAGATTAGCCAAGATTATCAGGCTCAAGTACAAAGCTCAGAATAGAGCCATTGTAAAACACACAAGATGGAGTAGGTAAGACAAAAGACAAAGAGAAAAAATTTAAAATGTGTACACATATCCAGTGGAGTGTCCTAGCTTCAGAAACTTGTTCCCTGTGAACTAAAAGATACAACAGAGAAGCTTGAACCAAGCAAATTTCCTGGGGGGAAGGAGGGAGACCTTTTCTAGAATGCACTTTGGAAAGAAGGTCAAAAACAGATTTGAGATGGGTTCAACTGATATTATCCATTGTTGGGAGCAAGCTTTAGATCCAACCATGCTTT